ACTTGAGATGCTAAACCCTAAGCCCTAGACCTCAAACCCTGAACCCTAAACCCCAAACCCCAAACCCTAAACCCTCAATAGCTTCCATTTTATTTTCCATTCTCCCAAAATAACCCTGATAAAAATCCCTATATAAACCCTGGCAGGTGCGTATGGTCACCTCGCAGGGTCTCCTGAACTTGGAGCTTCACTGTGACATCGCCCGGACCTCAAACAAGGGTTTATGTAGGGGTTAGTTTGGGAGAATGGAAAATGAAATGGAAACTACTATTTAGAGTAAATTTAGAGTTTAGGGTTTAGGTTAAGGGTTCAGGCTTAAGGTTTGGGGTTTGGCCTCCTGAACGCCTACGTAGAAGGGGGCGTAGGACGAGAACATGGAGATTATGACGCTATTTATGTCTTTGCGCCTGCAGTAAAGGATTTGGGGCTTGGGTGAGAAGGGGGAACGGACAGAAAGCAGATACTGCTTGCCCATTTAGGGCTTTGGAGCTTAGTTGGGATTGGGAGACGGGAAGAAGGAGAAGAAGATGGAGGCTACTACCCGACTTCGAACTCAGGATTTGGTGCTTCAGGCGAATGGAAAGAACATGGCAACCACTGCATTTTCTAGAGCTATGGCTTCAGGGCTTAGTTTGGATTAGGGAACAGAGCCCTTAGGTAGTCCCTGCAATAAAGCCTGTGTGGTCTCTATGATGCATTCTTCCATTCCCATTTCAGCATGACAACGCTCAGGGGTCGTGGTACTCAGTAGGTTTGCAAGGCTCGGTAGTTCTCTTTGCCGAGCTAGAGGTTGACTTCAAAGGGCGTGTTACTGTTGGTTCAGAACCTACTCTGCAGTTGGGGTAATCCATCACATGTTATTATTGCTCAACGATGATGCGCTGAGCCCTTCAACTAGTTCCTATCCACTGAATACTATGCAAACGGGCCTTCAGGGATGGCACTCGGCTCGGCCACGTTTAGTCCTGCACAACTAGCATACATGTCCAACAGGATCTATACAAGGCACTCAGGCGCCTTTACATGAAGCCTGCCTAAAGCAAGGCCCCACGGACATCGGACAACTTTCTGCGCCTCTGCGAGAAGGGCTACTACGACAACACGGTGGGAAATGTCAACGTTGTGCAGAAAATGTGGTGTTCTTCATGAGTTGTGGTGAGATGCACTCGTAGCCATAAGGACTATGGTTCGTTTGTTGCGGGAAGCAAGTTTTCTGGAAATGGAAGCTGTAATCATGGCAACCTGCAGCATGTACGAAGACCTTCCCCTGATGTTTTAGACCTGGCGGTGTTGAATATTCTCATCATGGTATACTATAATTCATCGGGGTGGTTCAGTGTTCGGGTGAGGGGATTAAAGCCCGTGGTGTTTGGCAAGCTTCTACTAGCCTCTAAACCCAAAATCCCAAACCCCAAAATCCACAAACCTTAAACCTTAAGCCCTAAACCCTAAACCCCAAATCCTAAACCCTAAACCCTAAGCCCTGAACCCTGAACCCTAAGCCCAAAACCGCGTGGCAGATCTTCCACCGGCTTATCCGCAACTTCATGCTGCAGGCCAGGCCTTGCTCTTCCTGTCATGGGTTTCCGTACTTCTAGGGTCATAGTAATAATGGAAAAGAAAATGGAAGCTACTATTTATTTAGGGTTTAGGGTATAGGGTTTAGCGTTTAGGGTATAGGCTTTAGGGTTTAGGGTCGGGGGGACTTAGTAACTGGGTTAATAATGGGTATAACTGGGGTTACTATATATGTTATAGGGGTTATTAACCTAGTTTCTAAGTGCCCCTGACCCTCCAAGTACTACCCCCCCTCTATAGGGGTTTAGAGGTTTAGGGGATTAGGGTTTAGGGTTTAGGATTTACGGTTTAGGATTTAGGGTTTTGGGTTCTAGGTTCCCCCCCCTTAACTCAAGTTATTTAGGAATAATTAGAACCTAGCGGGGGAGTAGGCAAACCCATGATCCTGAAGCTTCTGCGTTGCAATGGCTGCGTAGGGTTTAGGGTTTTGGGTTTAGGGTTTAGGGTTTTTGGGTTTGGGATTTTGGGTTTAGGGTTTTGGATTTTGGGTTTAGGGTTCAGGGTTTAGGGTTCTGTGGGGGTTGCGTAATAGGGATTATGCAATTCAGGGCGAAGGGGGTTGATGGGTCATATATACCTCCAGTAACAATGGAGAATCAAACGGAAAAGAACATGAAACATTCAATGGAAACTGCCTGAAGGGCTGGGGTACGTTTTGTTGGAAAATTTGGTTATCATAATTCCTATATTGCCTCTTACAACTCATAGCAAGCATCTTCTATAGGGCCCCTACATCCATCCCGGTAGACTTCAGTAAGCAATGAAGGAATGGAGACTGGAGACATCCATTACATTCAGGGCTTTCTTGGGGTTACTACAAGAAACGCTAAACCCTAATCAAATAGAAAATCATGCGAGCAATTGATCACGCAAACATATCCTGAGTATCCCTGTAGAAGCCCCGATTTGATTTCGTGTTCCCTGGAACTTCCTCAGAAAGTTAGGGGTCCGTTTTGTGAGAGTTCCCGCAATAAGCAGTGCACGCAGATAAGTAGGACATTCTTTTTTTGAAAATATGTACTTTGTCTCTTTCTGTTTCCTAAGCCTTGAGTGGTAGATTCCCAAAACGGGGGGAACCCAATATAGACCACAAAAATATTACAATCAGTACTATAGGGACCCACAACATTGTACCTCAAATTTTGGGAAACCCCCATTTGTGTTGGGATACTGCTTTGGTTTGGTTTGACAGGGTGGCGATCCAACTGGCACCGGCCGTGGCGGAGAGAGCGGATTTGAAGGCGCAAAGCATGGTATGGTGGCTTCTCAATCGGTTTGCCAGGGAGATTTAGTTGGCTTATGTGGTCATCCTAAGATTTTGTTGGGATTATCTTAAGAAGCTTTCATATGGATAGCTTCCAAAATCACGATCCAATTTTGGTATCCCAGTTGCCCAACTACACGTGATACTGCAGAAGGGATGAGATTGTGGAGACTAACTCACATACTGCTGCCTTGGTGCCAAACACATGCAAGAGTGCCTTAAGTGCGTGAACTTTGTTGACAAGCGCATTGTAGCAGAGAGAAGAAAGATTGCTCACGCGAATGTACCTGTAACAGGCCATGGTACATCTTCTCGTGATCAATGTTGGGGATCCTTTGTACTTTTGGGGTATGGGATTCCTTATATTTGCGGAAAAAGGATCCTTTTTTCTTCCTAGGGTCATATGGGCTAAGTTCTTCGTTTGAGGTGGCAAGCAGTTCAAAGACGAGTTCGACTCCCGACTTGTCCACCAAGGACCAGGGGCTTCTCGTCCGGCGAAACATACCTTGTACAAGGATATATATCCCCAACAATGGAGAATCAAATGGAAAAGAACATGGAATGGAATCTGGGAATATGGGCCCAATGGGAGTTTCTCAAAATATCCCCTATACAATCCTTACTATGGACCCCAATAACTAGTCCCTGCATAATTTCCATACTGTATCCCCAGCTTTTTAGGGCGCTTTCTTGAAAAACTTCTCCGTCTTGCAGCCTCTTCAGTCCCTGCGATTTGACATGTGAGGTTGTCAGCATGGCCAACAATGGCAAGAACACCAACAGGAGTGATGGTGGGCTTAGGGTTTAGGGTCTAGGGTTTAGAGGTGCTTGATTACTTGATGCATGACAGACCCTACGATTTCGCTAGATGTGTATTTTACTTTGTATCCTTTATACAGCCGTGTATAACCTCTTGCATTTCCTAGACTTGTTTCAATAACCCTATGCCCCGTATGCAGCCCTATACACAGACAAACACACATATTTATATATTTATATATACAGATATACAACTACCTATACATGAAACACACATATATATATATATGTATCCCCTATATAACCCCTTGAGGAGTCAGTTCTTCGTCTCGTTGAAGTCTTGTGAGCATCTGAACAACAAGCACTCGGTGCCGAAAGCTCAGTTTGAAGGCTAGGCCCTTTAAGGGACCCTTGGGTCCCGTTAAGGGGGTCTAGATGTGTATATATATATATACAGGTCTCTTACAAAGGATTTTAGAGGTATATATATATATATATGCAGATTATGAACTGCGATTGTTGGTGTTACTAAGGGGTGAGGAACCTGCTCAACACGGGTTCTAATCGGGTCACAGTGAGGTTCTATGGAGGATGTAGAAACATGGTTTAGGGTTTAGGGTTTAGGGTTTAGGGTTTAGATACCCAAATTCACGGTTCCTCAACGTAGTTCCATTACGCTATGCTACGAACTCATGAATGGGTCTTTCCGAAGTTGGGGTTCCCCTTCGCACCACTACGAACAGGATACTCTTCACGTGGGGACCCCTGCACAAGAAACCTTCGAATGTGCAGGTTTCTCAAACCCTAAACCCTAAACCCTAATATTCCCTTACTAGGGACCCCCAGGATCCCTTAGAATCCTCATATTTGCTAGCAACCCTGCTAGGGGCCGCCGCGATTTTGAGAAACTACCAGATATCGTTGTGAAGCCTTGATTCCCAAACCCTAAAACATTAAGCTTTACGGCGTAAAAACCCTAAAATCCTACAGGGTTTAGGGTTTAGGGTTTAGGGTCCGTAAACCTCAAACCCTGAACGCCATGCTCACAGACTCTGAAGCTGTAGCCCCTGAGTGTTAAACCCCGACCTTGGAGCTCTCTTAGGGTCGCGGGTGTAGGGGTTTTAGGGGTTTTAGGGGGTTTAGGGTTTGTGGGTTTAGGAGTTTAGGGTTTAGGGTCTTAGGGTCTGAAGGTCTCAGGGCTTTCGGGCTTTGGGGTTCAGGGATTGTTGAGGTGTAGGGGCGTTGGATTTGGCAGTTTAGGGTTTAGGGTTAAGCCTTGAACCCTAGTCCCTCACCCCTAGGCCCTAAGCCCTAATTGAGGGTTTCCAAAATTCTGGGGGCTCAAAATAGAGCCTAACATCTCCTACTCCTTGCTATGGGGACTCCCCCGAAAGGGCCCCGAATTTTTCGAAAACGCCTCAAGCCTTAAACCCCAAACCCTTAAACCCTAAACCCAATTTTCGCCATCTCTACGTAACTCCTCTGCTTCACGCACATCTCCCAGCTGAACCCTGAACCCTAAATCTTAAAACGCCAAGTCCTAACCCTTAAATCCCTAAAACCATAAGACCCCAAGACCCTCTAGACTTCAAACCTAATGCCTGAGCCCTAAAGCCCTAAAGCCCTACGACCTCAAGATCCAAAACCCTAAGACCCTAAAACCCTAAACCCTAAACTCTAAACGCTAAACCCTAGGACCCTGAAACCTTAAAACCCTTAGCCTCTAAAACAATATATCCCCAATATAATCCTGATATAGCCTTTACAAAATCCTTATAATCCCAACCAGATAGGAGCCACGAACCCGAATGCAGACACGTGACACGTACATGCAATGATAATGACACCCACGGGCGAAACCACTTAGGAGACGTAGGTCCGGGGTCATCCCTTTCTCCTCTTTCTCCTCCTCTCTCTTTTCTCCTCTCTCTTCTCTCTCCCCTCCTCTCTCCTCTCTCCTCTCTTCTCTCCTATCTCTTCTCTCCTCTCTTCTCTCCTCTCTCTTCTCTCCTAACCTCTCTCTCCTCTCCTCTGTCTCTTCCCTCCTCCATCCTCTCTCCTCTCCTCTTCTCTCCTCTCTTCTCTCCTCTCTTCCCTCCTCTCCTCTCTCCTTTCTTCTCTCCTCTCTTCTCTCTTCTCTCTCCTTTCTCTTCTCTCCTCCCTTCTCTCCTCTCTCTTCTCTCCTCTCTTCTATCTGCGAACCTCTCTCTCCTCTGGTCTCTCCTCTCTTCTATCCTCTCTCTTCTCTCCTCTCTTCTATCTCCGAACCTCTCTCTCCTCTCCTCTCTCCCCTCCTCTGTCTTCTCTCCTCTCTTCTCTCTCC